AAATAAGACTTTTGCCTGGAAGTACCATATTAATGTGCCTATTCCTAATGATTATGAAAGAGGTCCTGGAAAACCAGCTATGACAGTTTATTCTGTTACTGTCCTGCCTCTGTTTGCTACTGTTCCACTGTGGGACTCTGATATCCTTTGCTGGTCCCTATAGCTGCAACTCTCATTTCATTTTCAGAAGTAGCTGAGACATTTCCACAGCAGCTTTCCAGAGAGTATCTGCCCGAGTGGTGAAATTTGCAGCCCAAATGTTGAAGTATAGTAGTGCTCTAAGGCCAAGAAAACAGCATTTTGCATAGGGAATACGGGGGAAGTGTAGCAATGGGTGTTATTGTCATACAATCAGTGTGGGCATGTGTATTGTTAAGTGTATATTTGTGCTGTCTCGTAGCTTAAGTAGTTGTGCAGACTACATAGGCTATGTCAGCTATAACCTTAAAAAAAATTGTAAGACCTAGCAGACAAACAAAAGGCACTGAAATATATGTTGGACTGTAATTGGATGTGCCCTGCAGCAGGTCAGACATGCGTTTGAGGCAGGTGTTTGTCCCAGCCATTAAAAGAAATGTAAAATTAATGTGAAAAGCAGTGTGTTCAATGTAATCTCTCTCCTGTTACCACAGCACAGCTGTGCTTTCAGAAAAATGCACAGCACAGTATGAAGTCAGCTTCTAAGTACATTTATTTACTCGACACTGATTAGGAAAAACAGCTGGGTTGTTCTTTTCTGGCTTTCTTTGTTTTGCTTTATTTGAGGGCATTTTATGGCAAGAACATTTAGAAGCAGAAGGTTAGGAAATCAGAGATTTTTCAGACTTTGTCTGTGCTAACTGAATTCTTTGTCAGATGGATATCTTCATCTGGCTCAAGAGAAGCAGTAGATCAGGAAACAGTTTAACGTGGGATTTTCCAATTGCAATTGCACCTCCTCAGAGCCCTGTTGACATAGCTCTGCTAACAGAAAGCAGAGTCATAGGTCTGGTCACTGGCACCTAGAAACTCCCCCTTCTTTGGGATGTGCTCTTGTGCACATGGGTGGCAGATCTATGTGAACCATTAAAATAACATTTATGTCATGGTTTAATTTAGTTGTTTAATATAGGCTTGTGAATGTAAATCACAGGAGCTGAGCTTAATGGAGCAATAATACAACCACATTCAAAAGGGGCTGAAGAGAGAAATGATCAACATGATGTGATTTCTTTATTCAAAAGAGCATATCTGAGAAGTGTAATGCTGACTTGAACATGGAAGGCTCAACTCAGCTCACCTATGGTGAGGCTGGGGGGACACAAACAGTGATCCTGCCAAGCTACCTCCAATAAAGTCTTTCTTTGCCAGCCTTCCTCTCAGATACACTGACACTGCAAGCACTGCTGCAAAGAAGGAAAGCCTTTTTTTAAGTAACTTGTTTGAGACCTTGAAGTACCTGAGCCTCAGCTGGTCAGGGCTCACCACAGACCTGCACCTTGGAGGTAAAGGCAGGCTGAGCTCCAGAGCTGCTCCCTGTGTCTGAGCTAGCTGGCTTACAGCTGTGCTGCAGCAAGTAATACCTGAGCAGCAACAGCATACAGAAACTCCAGAAGGGGATTTGTTCTGGCTGGAGAGTTACTCCTGTGATAAACTTCCTGCTCTTGCAGACAGATGAAGAAGGGTGCCTGATGTCCAACAGGAGCCTTTCAAAACTGTCACTGCTCCTGCCATTTCTCAGATGCCAGTGTTACAAAGACTCTGACTCCCCGGGGAAAGATGAAGTACCGTATCTTAATCATTTCTCTCCCCTCCATCCCTTTTATATTTCAACTGTCAAAGGAATTTTCTCAGGAAAGAAAAGCTAAAATGATCTGGGGTACTGTTCCCGCTTTTGCTTCAGACTTCCCATGTGACTGTGGATAGTAGGTTGTGCTTTTCTCTACCTCAGTTTCCTCTCCATTAAATTAGAATAGGCACAATTTCAAACTCATTCATTTAATTGTGCCAATTGAGTGTAGATACAAGATCTGCAGACACATGGCTACCAAAAGATTCAGAAAATTGCAGAGGTTAGTTTTGAAAGATGTCAGTGCCACCCAGCCAAGTTTGTGAGTTTAGGTGTCTTACCTGATTAAATGTTTTAGAAAATATGTAGAAAACACTCAGCAGAGTACCCAAGTGCCACAGAAACTGTAGCTGCAGGGTCGTTAGTGTCCAAACAGATTTTGAAATGGGAATTCGTATTCCTTATTTGCTGAACAGATTTTTTAAATGCTGCTAAATCGTAATGTTTCTGTTGTTGTTTGTCTGTTTTGTCTAATTAGGCTCTAGCAGAACAATTGCAATCTCTTTTACTTTGTGTTTGTGCTATGCTGGATAGACATAGCCCTGAATTTAGTTCTCCTGTAGATGCAAGTTCCAGAAAAATAACAGTAGTTTTACTAATGAGAAAAGCTATGTAAAGCCAGAATTCATGCTAAATTAGTATCTGTTAGTGGCTTAGATCTATAATGAAGGTTTCCTTGCTCTCTGTTGTGTGTCTCAATTCATTGTGGAGCAGTCCATAATATTTTATTAACAACATTTTTTTTCTGGAACTGTTCCCCAAAAGTATGTGCTTTCCCATAACATCAGAACAAGACAAATGGCACTATTTGCTTTTATTATTGTGCAGAAGTGTCTTTCCTTTGGACTCAGGCAGACTTGGAAATGGCGAGTTGCTGGAGAGTAAGGGAGCACATGCTTCAAAGTCTTATCTGGTTCCTTGGTAGGCAAACAGAATACCTTGTCTCTTTTCTAGTCAGTCCTCATTATAAAGAAAAGTATTCCAGGTAAGTATTCTGAGGAAACTCTTACCTTTAGTCAGAGAGGGAGTAGGCAACAAGTACAATCTCCTTATGCATCTGCAGGAGAAAAATGAATGGAGTGAAAAGAAAAAAATTAGAGGAATTTCGTGCTCTGAAACTGGATACTGCGCCTGTTGACAGGTATTTGTTTTGGTGGCCTTCGGGGACATTTTCTAGTCACAGCAGAAAAAAGGCTAAAATTGTTTCAAGGAGACTCCATACTTAAGAGTTGAGTGAGTAGGAACTACAATAGTCTGAATGTGAGCAAACCTACTTAAATTCAGATCCCTTTTCTAATTTCTTGTGTCGGAATCTTCCTCAGATCTGCTCCTCCGTCATTCCATCAAATAGCCCCCATTTATTCATTTATTTATTCTTCACATACATTTAGGAAGAAAAAGAAAGGAGTCGCTCCCCCCAATGGGGACCATCTGCTCTTTTCTTATTGGGAGGGAAAAAACCCTACAATTAGTGTCTTGTTAATCGTTTTGTTTTACCAAAAAAAGAAAGGGACAGAAAGAGAGACAACTATTATGCAAATACTCTGCAATTTGGTTTCAAATAGTCTTTGTACTATGATGAGCAATTTCCTTTAACACAAACTCAGCCTACTTGCCAGAACCGGGGTTTTTTTGGTTGTTGGTTTGGTTTTTTCCCCCCTTAATATAGGGAAGGGAAAAAAACCATCCAACTTTTATGAGTTGGGGGTATGCTATGTTCCTATGTTCCTGAGATGACAGCTTCAACTTTTTCTCATCCGTTTTTCTTTCTTTCTCTCTTTGGTACTATTTCAGCTGTTGTACAGTTTGGTACTGTTCAGCTGTAAGTTGTCAGAAAGATGTCATATACGGGTTTTTTGGGGGAAAAAAAAGGCAACAAAAACCAGAGAACCAAAATAGCTTTACAAAGCCACAATTTCATCTCCCTTTTCATTGTTCCATTGCCATGATGAAGCGGTCTTGAAATGGAGGAGTCAGCTTAGTGAATAAAAGAGAAGAGCTTTGTCCCTGCTGCATTTAAATGCCAGTTGCTTGTGATGGCAGCATTAGCTCTAAGAACAGTTATGGAGGTTTTTTATACAGAGCTTCTCTGCTGCTTGTCAGTAGTATGAGCTTTAGGGTTGAATAGCATAGCCAAGATTAAATCCTTGTTTCTGGACAACCCAGTTTGGTAGCTGAAAACTTCTGCCTGGAAAAGACAAAGTCTAGAAGAAAGAAAGGAATATTATTTCCTGTTTACTCTGTGAAAAACTGAAATATGGAAAAAACCAAAATGACTCATCCAAGATGTGTTGAAAGAGGACTTTGGAGGAATCAGGGGCTGATCTTAGAGGCTCAGGTTTAGAAAGCTGCTGCTTCCTGTAGTAATTTACTTGTGGATCAGGATACAGAGAAGAGTGTTGCTGCACCTGGGCTACTACTGCATTGTCACAAGCTCTGGTTTAGGCTATTGCTGTGCAGCAGTCAATGAGATGGTAACATGGTCATATCCTAATGGCTTAATGAATCTGCTGACTTTCAGTGGGACTTTAGAGCATCAGGCACATTTGAAAAGCTCACACTAAACCTCCTGATTCTTAGACCTTTTCAGGTTGAACTTTGGGAAAGCATCAATCAACATATAAATGTTACATGCTTAAGTCTACAAATACTGAGCATAAATTCTCTGTTCCAGTAGGACGTTTTGGCACACTTTCCTCGAATACCTTGTGAAGTAAGGCATGACTGGCCATCTTGCTATACATGAGAGGCAATAGTTTGCTTGCCTAATATGAAGCTGATGCTCCATGCATTGACCACAAGTATTTAGGAAGCAAAATTATGGGAAGTAAAATGAGTCCAAAGAGACCTTAAAGCAAAGTTTAGTGTATCACATTTACATCTTTGTTTCTGTGGCTGTAATGGGACAGGGAATGCAGGGAAGTGCAGAATTTTAGATCTGAGCCATGACTGGATCTGTGCAGATAGTCTGATTCTGTTGTTTGGGACTCACTACATCAAGTATACAGTACATCAGACTGGATGTTCCCCAGGTATACCTAGCACTGGGTAGACAGCACAGTAATTCGTGGTGCTTAGAGGACACTGATCCCCTTTAGAGGTGCGATAGGAAATATCATATGCATAGAGTCTTTAAGTTACTGGAGTAACTGGGTCACTTTTATTGTTACAGGAAGCTCTTATCATGGCCAGTATGGACCACCCACACCTGGTGAGACTCCTCGGTGTCTGCTTGAGCCCGACTATTCAGCTGGTCACTCAGCTGATGCCTCATGGCTGCCTGTTGGATTATGTTCATGAACATAAGGATAATATTGGTTCCCAGCTCCTGCTGAACTGGTGTGTCCAAATTGCTAAGGTATGTAGTTCAAGCTGTTCTCTTTTTTTTTGTCATTTTCATAACTAACTTTTAAACAAGACTTTTATTTTTGTTAGTGTTGGGGTTTTTTTCAAGGCTGCTTCTGTTTTGGAGAAGGCTGGGTAGTTCTTGAAACACGCTATTTTGGCTGCTTACAGTATTAGATTACTTGTCAGTACATAAACCAAAGTGTTTTTCTTGACTATTTTTCCAACTTAGTGTTAATGGGAGGGCATCTTTTGGGGCGGTGAGGGAAGAAGCCCCCCATGTGACATTTGGGGTTGAACACAGGGTGATTTTTCAGCCTCTTCTGTTGTTCACTATTCATGCATACGGATTTAACCTTATGGTATTTTTCAACTTTTCTGAATCTGCATTGCCAGTTAAATTCTGATACACCGTCAGTTGTCTGCCCCCACACTGCCAGGAAGATAAATATTCACTTCATACCACTCCTTGGGGAACCACTGTGGTTCTACTGTGTTTAAAACTATCACAACAGCTGAGGCTGGAGGGTAATACTGCTCATCTCTGCATAATGGGAAGTCTCAAGGGCTGGACCCCACTTTTCTTGCCATGGTGTAATGCTCTCTGCCTTCCTGGGGCTTTTTAGGAGCAAGAGCGAAGCCTTTATCATCCAGATGCAGGCTGGATCATCCAGAATCAGATCAAACCTTCCTGAAGGTACCAGTAGATGAAGCAACCATAATGCTGGGTAGAGGAGTTGGTCTGTAAAAGAGGTGGGGGGAATGCAAACCTCACAATCTGATGTTACAGCATTTTGTAGGCATGTTAATGCCTTGTGCTGTGGTGGTAAAGCAGTCAGAGTTGCCTAGAGTATTGGAACACACTGATGGGGATTGTCTGTACCTGAAGATTTGCAAAAGTTTATTTAGGGCTGTTACCAGATCAAGGAAGGTAGGAGAGAAAATACATATTCCTGTTTGAGTCTTTCCTCCCTCCCATCTGTTCTCCACTCTTTCGCTAGTGGCTGTTATTATGTATTACAAAACATTTACACAGTGGCATCTATGCAAAGGTAATCCACCTTTATTTTCATTTTGTGCATGTGTATGGCCCTTGATTCCTTGGGTTAGTGGCTGTGGACCTTATGTGGGCAGCTGATTTAGTGAAGCAGATAGCCTAATCCATAATAGAGCTGACAGAGGTATGGGAGGATCTGTGGAAGGCAGGTCATGGCTTTCCCATGGTGATTCTTATCAAAGTGAAACAGGTTCTAAGGTGATTTCTATTATAAATGGTTTCAGCTTAATGCAGGAATTGGATTTAGGTACACTTCTTGGAAAATCATTGTCTGATGGTTTTCTTGATCATCCTGTGATACGGGAGGAGATTAAGTATTACAGATATTTGAGTTCTGAGGTGGTTGGGTAACCAAGCAGTGCAAAGAAGTGAGATCATACGTGTAATATGAACTGATGAAGTGTCAGGAAGAGAAAGGGGCTTTCTTTGCAATAAAAGGTGGCCTATTATTGAAGGAGTGTAGTGAAGTTTAGTTGTTTAGTGAAATTTAATTAAATTCATCATCTTCTGCATCACAATAATCTTGGGGTTAATTTTGTCTTGGCCTCAGTTTGCAGCATGAATCTCATCCACCTGGCTCCCCATAAAGAGGACAGCAGCAAGGGACTGTTTTCCTGAGAAGTGCATTGCACTTGGTCCATACAGCTGATTCATTAGCTCTGGGCTATCCCAGAGTTTGTCAGGAGTATTTTCTCCTCTGTGTTTAATAGGGGATGGCTTGTTCTGGTTAAGAAGCTCACCGCAGGTAGTGCTTCCATGCCATGCCAGTATGGTGCAATCCTGTTGCGGAAGTAGACTCCAAAGCATAAAAATATACCTTAAAGTCTTATTTTCTTCTTGTTTTTGTAGTCCTTGTGCATTGAAAATCATTGCTATCAGGTTTCATCCATGCATAAAGATACAGAGCCTCCTATATAACAATTAAGAGAAGAGAGTAAAGAGAAGGACATAAGAGTCTGTGCATACCATATAATTTGTAAGAGTAACGCAAATTCTGCACAAAATTTTCTGCATTGCATTGTGCTTTCTAGTGGGATACTAGAATGAATACCTGTTCCCTTGCTATCTGACAGACTATAATGTCGATAGGGGTTAGAAGACATACATAAGAAAATGTTTCACAGCTGGTAGGAAGAATAATATTTGAGATCCCCAGACAGGGAGACCCCTTATTGCAAAAGGTGGAATAAAAGTAATACTTGTTTTCCATTGATCTGTCACATTTAACAGTGACTAGGAATCAGTCTGCAGCCTGTAAACAGGAAAGATTCAGTTTGCCTAGAAATAGACTGGTCTCCAGAAGAATTAGTGCAGAAGGTGGCTGTTGCATCAAGCACAAGTTCCCGTTCACTGCTGGAGAGGTCTGTGTGTTCCACAGCGCTCACGTTTCAGATTGTGCCATATGGCTTGAGAATGTCTTTCCACATCTTGCTTTCCTAGCCTTTTGGAAATGATTGGTTGTGTCCTTCTGAAAGATACCAAAAACATGATTAGCAATGTAATAAGAGGCAAAAATGATCGAGTGACTCCCCAGTCCTATTCTCTGCTCCCTGAAGCAGCTTCTGGTGTCTTTTGTTGCATACATCTTTCTACCTTCACCATCCCTGCTTTAGTGGTGAGAATTTTCCCAAACAAGAAGAGGACTGAAGGAAATGCTTCAAATCTGAAGTTAAGGCTGATTTTTACAAATTGTTTAAAATCGAGTTGCTACTGCAATACAGTTTCTCCCTAACTGTGCTTTTCTCCATCTGCCAGTGTACAGGAATTTATTTATTGAAGTCACTGCTTCAGAGTTCACTTGTTCTACCAGGCTGTTCATTTCCATATGTCTCTAATTCTGTACAACTGGATGCAGAAACTAGTTGGATGCTATTCTTGGTTGCCAACCACTATATGGCTCTAGAGATCACTTCTGAAGGTTGCCGACAGGGCAGTTGTTAAGTATTATCTACTGCCAATTGGAAAAAGCTTGGGTGCTTTTTCTCTTTTTGCTTATACGGATTGTCTTGAATTTATTGTCATGTTACATCATTGTAGGGTAACTGTGTTCTACTTCCAGAAACTTTAGTTTCTTATTTTGCAGATGAAAGATGTAAAAACAGAGTAGCGCCCAATCATTCTGCATAAAACATGGTTGTCAGACAGCAGCTGTGTCTGAGGACCTTGGTGACCTTAGGGTGTGGAATGATGGAAGGAATAACACTTAATGAACATCCTTAGTGTTGGCTGCTCGAGAAACAGATTGAGAATCAAATGCTGTAAGGATGGCACAAGCCTAGAAGTGAATTTAGTAGCTGAATTTACGTCCTTCTCAACCACTGTAGGTCAGATACATGTAAATCACAAAGACTGGACAAACGAACAGAAAAAGGTGCTGTGTGCATTGATATTTCAGTGTGTTTGATACAATTTCTCTCAGCAAGGGCTGCCCAAACACACCCACCCACAGGTGTGGGAGTGAGGAAATTCTTACAGAAATGTGTTCAAGAAGGGGAGAAACCGCGAGGTTTCAGTCAGGAAGAGCTGCTTGCATTCTGCCACTCCGTGAGGTTAACTAAGGCACCTCTATTTGAGCCTGTGTCTGCTCTCTGTTACTCTAGTGGAAAATAAGCCTAAATTCTATGGAATTACTATTATGGACCTTTGTGCTGTGCCGAGTGCTCTCTGTCTCTTTCAAGGGCATCTAGAAATGCAGTTTTGCTTTTGCACTGTTACATACAACACTTGTAAATTCAATATAGACCTGGGCAGTCATATCTATTATTTTACGGGGGGGGGTATGTGGTTCTGTTACAATTATGGTTTCATTCACTGCTGTTGATTTGCAGTACGTCTGTGCTGGTTTTGCTGAGCAGTGTTCAAATGCAGAAGAACTTTTCCTGCACCAAAGAAGTCAAGGCAGAGGTAGAGTCAGGAAGCAATCTTCCCAAAACAAAGCAGCTTGTCTACGAACATCTGGCCTGTGGAGGAGAGCTCAGCTCTCTTGGGTCTAAGCTGGTGCCCCACTCTGTTCTACCCTGTATCCCCCAGGGGCTGCCAGACCTGTTTTTTGTGTTCTGAACTATAATAAGTCTTTGACAACCCCTCAGAATACTAACGAGGTAAAGAAGAAGTAGGTTGATACAGTGGAATGTCATGGAAGGAAAATCAAGTACTTAGGAGATTACTTTTTATACCTTTTCAATATAAAAGAATTCTCAAATTACCTTAACTAAAGCACTGCACAGCATCAGTTATCCGGGTGTGCAGGAAAACAATGTCTGAAAACACTCTAGGAAAGAAAAAGAGAGAGGAACTTGGTGATTGAATTTTAATGAAGTGGATGCACATCTTTAAGTCTGCTGAGTATTATTCCAGCACACTTGGAGTCTTTGCTCTCTCTCAGGACTCCCTGCCAGAAGTACATATCTGCAGCTGGAAGCCTCCAGGAGCTATCAAGCCAAAGGCTCTTGCAAAGCCTCCTTGCTGCTTCTTTCTGCCACCCTGTTACATGTCCTGTTCAGCTTGTTCAGGTTCCAGGCTCTGTACCCTTCTGCAGTTCTCTTGGCAAAGCAGGGCTTGTCCACTGCCTGCTCCTGAAGCCTCTCTCCATGCCAGGCTTCTTGGAAAGGTGTATTTATTGAGAAGCACTAGGGCAGTGCTTCTCAACTGGATGTAAACTCACAGGCTATGTGAAATTCAAAGGATCAGTGTTGGTTTATGCAACTGAGAAGCTGATCCAGAAGCTGGTACAGCACTTACCTCACATCCTAAATTCCATGAGTTTCAGCCTGCATTGCTGATGTCTGGAGTGAAGGAGGCTTTGAGCAGGGAGGCCTGGTGGCAAGTGAGGTTGCACTGTGAGGTGAGGAGCCTTTCTTCTCCATAAAGACTCGATAGATTAGGAATGAGTCATTGATAGAGACAGGATTTGTTACACTGCTACAGATGGGATGGGAGAGAAACTGTGTGCAATG